TTGGTCCGTCTCCGAAAAATATAATTTTAGTGTCAATATATTCGTAATGACGAGGTGATTAACCTTTTGTTAGTGGGGAAGCATTTGGAGACCGTTCGGAGGGGAAAAGTTCCGGTACCGTGAGTTGGAGCACGCGTGGTCGGCTTTAAGGTAGGCTATGGCTTTCTCTCGTGAGATTGAGCATGTTTAGGCAATTGTTTATTGATTTGCTTGAGTATGGAGGGGTTCGGGTGTCGAGCATGCTAAATTTCTATAATTCCTGCCTTAGACCTTATTTCGGGAAAGTGTTGGATTATGACAGCATGTCTCTTGATATTATTGAATATCCATATCTTGTGGTGTATATGATAATATTGATTTGAAGTATGTTTGGCCTTAGTCTAGTCTTAGACTAGTGTTGCCATAGACTTGCGAGATTTCGGATGTCGTTGGGTAGTAGAACTTTTTCCGACGTCGTTTCGGACGGTCAGCTCCTTGTAGACTGATATAGCAGACTTGAGTCTGATAGTCGGTAACTCAGCTTATGACCTTGTATCCATAATGCCCTGCTTTTCTATTAGCTACAGTACCCGGTTAGAGTCCGTGGTCCAGCTTACTTATGTCCAGGCTTAGCTACAGTACCCGGTTAGAGTCCGTGGTCCAGCTTACTTATGTCCAGGCTTAGCTACAGTACCCGGTTAGAGTCCGTGGTCCAGCTTACCTGTGATCTGGTTTTGGCTACAGTACCCGGTTCGAGTCCGTGGTCTAGCCCACCCGTGCCCGACCTTTGGCTACAGCACCCGGTTCGAGTCCGTGGTCCAGCCCATATAAGTTGACTCATTAGCTATAGTACCCGGTTCGAGTCCGTGGTCCAGCTTGCACGTGGTGTATTCCCAATTCCTCACTAAAGCTTCAGTTTAGTCTTGATTACTCTCATCTGTAGGTTGATGTTTTGGAGGTTGGAGAGATTCCGATTAAAGCCTGGAACGTAATGAGATCCTGGAATATGATTGGGAATGGTTCAGTTAAAAGTCCGGAAATTAGTAATATTGTGATAGACCTTCTAGCTCCATTATTTTACTTTAACTGCTGATGCATCTGCCGGGCTTATGGGGGTCCGTGCAGGTGGTTTCTTTTATTGTGCACGAGCGTAGCCGTCGGGTTTATGGGAGCCCGGCGGAGTTAGTTAGATTACTTGTCTTTGTTGCCTGTACGCTCGTGTACATACCCCCATTTACTACTCTTTGCACTTGATGTGACCCTTTATTTGCATTTCAGTTCACTTTTGCTTATCTTGCTCAGTCGGCCTATGATGCCTACTGGGTACCTTTTGTTTTGGTACTCATGCTACGCTCTGCATCTATTTTGTGATGCAGGTCCGAGCACTAGTAGCCAGCGTTGATCGAGCTTGGAGTAGACTTATCTGGAGACGGGGGTGAGCACACGGCGTTTTGTACTATTTCAGTCTCCATCTGTATATATTGACTTGTCTTCTTCCTTTCGAGACAGTCCAGTCTCTGTTGTCCAGTTTTGGGACTTGTACTCATTTTGTAATAGCTCTGTACTGGTGACTTCCAGGTTCTGGGAGGGATCTTTATTTGTATATATGTTTTGGGTTGCTTTCGCCTGTTTATATTGTTATTTTCCTACTCTTGTTTAATTTCTACCCTTAGACCCATTACTTGTTGTTCCGGGTTACGGGTTGGCTTACCTGCTGGTGGGTTATAGTAGGTGCCATCATGACTTGAGAAATCCGGTCGTGACATGTTGCCACATAAAATGGGACGGAGGGAGTATTATTTTTTATTTTTGGAAATTTTAGAAAACTAATTATTTTAAATCGTTTGATATTGAAGAAGCTCGAAATGACTAATTTATATTGTGAAGGTCCAAAATTGGGTGTCAACACTAACTTCAAGATATATTATTTTAAAATTTTCCAAGTTCTTTTTTTTTATAAAAAAAACTCACAACAAGTGTGAAAATATGTGAATATATATGAATCACTTAAAATTTATCATTAACAAAATAAATTTTATATTCAGTAATATTGAATAAACATTTTCATTTTGTCCCTACACTAAATTAAAGCTAATAACTTATAAAAAAAAATAGTAACATTAATTAAAAGTCCTATTTGTTTATGTAAGTATAAAATTTATTAGAAATTCATCTATTTCACATTTATCCTTTAGTTATAGCATTATAAAATCTCTTAGTTATTACTAAGTATGCAAATGTTATTCACACTCTTTTACATTCTTTAGTTATAATTTTATGAATTCTCATAGTTATTACATTAATTATTTCTATCTTTCATCCTTTCTTATATTAAATTTTGACCAATAATTTTTCATATTATTATACCGCTCCTATATGATAACACGGTGTTGTTATTTTTCTTTGGACGAATCATGTTTGGTTGAATAAATTGAAAATTATTTACAAGTATAAGAACTATATCTTTGTTGGGTGTAAGATAAACACGTGATTATATATATGATCTCACATATAGAATATATTCTTTAATTTTAATTTTTAGATTTTTCGGTAAAAAATGGAAACCTTTCTTGGTTAACTATGGACAGTCAGATTACTATCTTTGATTTGTGGGAAAAAGGACAAATATACCCCCGAACTAACATAAATGGTATCTAAATATCCTCCGTTATACTTTTAGGACACTGATGCCCTTACCGTCTAATTTTTGGTATGTATATATCCTTTTAATTAATGGAGGGACACGTGTCTCAATCATAAAAGTCTATCCAAAATCTATTTATTTTGTACCCATAATTAAAATAATCCACCCAAATAACTAATACCCAACCCAAATTATAACGCGAAATCTTCATATGCCCATTTCAAAAATAAAAATAATTTCCATTCCTAAAAGAACTCAAATCTTGATACCACAGGCCACAACATACATCTCAAATGGAAAGCAACATATTGAAGCATATCAAAGAATCAAATCAGAAACAAAATTAACATTAATAAACTTTCAAATTCCAAAGGAAAAAAAATCAATCTTGGGGTAAGAACTCTCTCTACTTCAATCAATAAATTACAAGCCCTAATATGCTTAAAGAAGTAATGGAATACTTTGAAGACTAAATTGATGAAAATATCAAAATTTTATCAGAAAGGTCAAATCTAAAACCTATCACTATATTAGAAGACAAATTCCAAGATCGAAATGCTTCATAAAAAAATAAATTGAGCACTTTGAGGTCTAGATTGATGAGCAGATTCAAATTTTGTCAGAAATCTCAGTCAACTTGAACGCTTTAATCTTTGCCTAGGTCTATTTCCATGGCAGTTGAAGCAAGACACTTCACTCAACAACAACAACAAATCATTTTAAATCAAGGAAATGGGTTTTCCTACAATACCCAGATGGGGTTCTTCTCTTTTACCGTTGCCGATAGCGGATATTTTTTTTTTGCCCTTTCTGTGCAATTTCGTTCAGACTAAAATTTCTCTTGAAATTTGATATAAGGTTTGATTTGGAAAATTGAATGGGTAACAGAAGTGAAGATTATTGGGAGTGTTTTTGGATTATAATTTGAGTGTGGGTTTCAAGTTATTTGGGTGGGTTTTGAATTTGTTGAGTGGGTATTTTAATTATGGGTAAAAATCAAATAAAATTCGGATAGGTCTTTAAGATTGAGACACGTGTCCCTCCGTTAGTCAAAAGGATATATACATACCAAAAATTAGACGGTAAGGGCATCAGTGTCCTAAAAGTATAACGGAGGGTATTTAGATACCATTTATGATAATTCAGGGATATATTTGTCCTTTTTCCCTTGATTTATATACACGGTCAATCGAGAAGTCAAATATGAGAGCCAACAAAAAGAACATCATCTATTATGTTATAACTTATAAAATAAAAATTAATATACAAAAATAGTTCTAAAAAATAAAATGTAGTTGTCCTCCTCATGTTCATATGACATCTAAACAAATTAAGTGGAATACAAGTCCAAAACACATCTGGTTAGATGACAAAAAAATAATACACAACAAATATCATCTATAAGGTAATATCACTGAGATACGACTAATTACATGATTAAACCTCATCAAATTGAAATAAATATATACATTATTGCATTTAACAAATAATCATTGACCATCTTCATAGGTTCGTGTGAATAAGAGATATATATGACGATCCACACTGAACATTCACAAAAGAATATGCAATCTTATTTTGTGCAAAGCTTATTATTCAAATATTCGCTTAAATTTTCTGAATTGATAATCATGTGCAACGCACGTGTCGAAAAACTAATATTATTAAAAGTAGGAAGCTTTAAAATGCAAAATTAGATTATCATTTTGTTCCCTACACAAAATTATAATATTATAAAATATTTAATTAATCATTAAATAATATATCATGTATCATATTACAAGTGGAAATACCCTAAATGAAAAGTTACATTACAATCATTCATAATATCATATTTTTTACATTTTTAATAAATATTTACTGTCTTAATGACTTAATAAAATTCTCACACCATATATGTTGAAGTAAATTTCGTGTAGCAAAATCTTTAAGACAAAAGGCCAAATAACCACTTGATACAACATATAACACTAATTAAACTGGTTTGCATTTAAATTCAATTAGGATTTTTTTTTCTTTTGCATTATCTTTTTCAGGTGGACAAGAAAGCATTTACGTGTAAATTATTTTAGGTAGACAAATATATCTCAAATCTAATATAAAAGTTGTGTGGAATGTTCTATAAAAAAACACATTTTAAGTATAAGATTAATATTCATTATCTTTAGAAACTTGTATTTTTCGGTATACTTTAATATCTATTTTTATCATGTAACATATCAGTAGAAATTGTGTAGAAGATTTTGATACCGATTAATAGGAATATATGTGCAATGCATGAACCCAAAACTAGTGATATCTATAAGGACAAAGAAATGTACAAGATTATAACATGAGAATGGTGCTGTAACAACTAAGAATCCCCGAAAAGAATAACCTTAGGAGAGTTCTTCTTGAACCACCGTTATGTGGAGAGCTACTAAAAGTTGTGGCTAGCCTTGCTCCAGGAAGTTCCTCATGACTTTTAGCTGTCAAGGTAACAACCACAATATTCTCATCTTGCACAGGGGCCTGAACCACTCTTTTCAAAGTCAACCTTGCTTTATCTCTAGAACCCAGCCATTTGTCATCACTGTCATGTTTCTCCACTTGTCCTATATATATCACAAAGGTAGATAGTTGTATCAAGACTTTTGTTTAACTAAGTAGTTATAGGGAACATAATACATTGAAGAACAATACACTGAATAAAATTAATTTTATAAAAAATATTGAGCCAAAACTCTACCTTAAGATCAACATTTTAACGCAGATACAACACACCACTATATTCTGGATCCTTAAGAATTGTACGCCATTTGATTGTCCCATATTTAAGGACCCCAACTTTAAGAGCAGATTCTTCTTCAGGAGTCCATTTCTGGTTAGGTGCACCCATCAAAGGATTGAGGAAAATAACTTTCCAAAAGAACCTTATTAGAAAACCAATTAATGTGTGTCAACTAAACACATACTCAAAGAAGATAGTTGGGACAACAGGTAAGATCAACGATGAGTTTTATACATCTGAAAGTTACATATACTTGCATAATCAACATTCAATTATTACAAATCAATGCATTAAGTTATTGTCCATGAGCCATGATCTGTACCAACTAATAGAGGAAATGCAGATGAGTGAGCTTACTTGAACAAAATCTTGAAAACGCACAATATTTTTTCAGAAAATGCAACAATTATGTGTCTTCTAAAATCAAATCACAATGATTTGTGGACATTTATTTTTGGGCCGATTTTTTAACTATACAACTTAACAACTGTATTTACACCAACATAGCAATACTTTTTTTTTCAATTATATAGCCATACTTTTTTTTTTCAAAAGTAGAATTTAAATTTAAAAAAAAATTCCAAATCAGCCATGCTTATCCCGATTCCCATAAATTTCTCCAATAATTTTACCTTCCCTAATTTATTCAAATATGCTATATATTATCTCCCATAAATAGAAGTTTCTTACCAAAACAAAACTCCCTTTCTCTGAGAAGAACGACTATCAAAAAAATGCATACCAATAATTTCTCAATTCTAATTCAACACAACGGGCAATGGGACTCATCAAGTAATTATATAAAAAATAATTCTCATGGTGTTTTATTACATAGTTGAATTTGATTTTTCACAAATATCTATTTTGTAATTTTTGGTAGTTATTTGTTTTGTTTAGTTTGTCAATTTTTGTGTAAATTAATTCATACAATTTGGTTGATGTTCTGGATTGTTGAAATTTTGGTGTAATTTCAACAACTTCATATGATTTTGCTGTACACTGATGTGTCAAATTTGTTTTTTTGTTAAAGTTTAGGTTTAATTGGTATGATGTGTGCCGTATGATAGCAAATATTTTATATCAGTAAGTTTGTGATATGTATTTCTTAATTTGTTTTGGTATGTGATCTGGTATAATTTTCGCTAATAACTAACACCAAACAAATAGCCTGATGTATGTTTTGGTGTATTGTTTGGTCAAATTTATATTATCTCACATATGAACATACGTATATTAAAATGAGTGCAGTAATAAATTATTTAGTGCAATTGGTGGTGTAAAAAACTACAAGTTTGACGATCTATGGTATATAATTAGAACCTCATAAATAAAAATATGGTACATATTTTAGTGTATTTTAAGTATATGAATTGGTGTAAATAATAATATGAAAAATAGTTCCTACATTAATTGATGGTAACCTGATTAAATAAAAAAATTTAAAAATTGGTTTAAGGGTATGTAATATTTGACTGTTGTTTTTTACGTTTATTAAATGGTTAAAATATTGGTAAAATAGTTTGGTATTTCTTTGACGAAGAATTTGTTATTTTAAACAGGCAATTGCGTGGATTACAATATTGAAGGAGTTATGTATGATCCAACCACCAAATACGAAGGCTTGATTACAACTATATCTTCACAATTGGGAGTGGACACAACAATTTATCATTTGAAACTCAAGTATTTCGTGAATGGTCCATCTCCACCAATGAAGATACATAACGATATGGGAGTGCAAGTTTATTTAGATCAAGAGAGATGCAATTCAGATTTCTTTTCAAAATATCCTTTATGTGTGACATGTGTGGACAAAGCTATGGAATCCATTGAGTACCAAACTAATATCCAAACAACACATCAACATATTTTGGGATCCAACACTCTATGTTTGACTAACATGGATCCAATTTTGGAAGGTAATATTGAAGAATCTAAAGGAACTGAAATAATTTCAAATCCTCAACACTATTTGGTGGCCGAGGATCAAGTTTATATAAACAAGCAAACTATATTGGAAGTTATGAAATGATATGCATTTCTAAGAGAGTTTTGTTTCATTGCAAAAAGATCAAGTCCTACCTGGTGAGTTATTATATATGTTGATTTTAAAAATTATCAACATATTTTAACAACTTAACATGTATATTAATGCATGAGTTTTTGCAGTTACTATCTAAAGTGGGCTACAGAAAACTGTTCATGGGTTTTTAAATCCTCATGTTTGAATAATTCAATGTTATTCAAAGTGAGAAAAAATCTATGATACACATTCTTGTCCTTTGAAGGACCGGATTCAATCAAAGCGACAATCAACAAGTGGTGTGCTTGGGGAAATGTTGGTTGAAAAGTATGTCGATATGAAGACCACTTACACTCCAACAGACATACAAGCAGACATGCTAAGGATACATGGTATTTCATTGACATACATCACTACTAAAAAAACAGCTTAAAAACGACGGATAGAAAAGCGACGGACGACGTCACTCCAAAAAGCGACGCCTTTTGCCACACTGTCCATCGCTTTTTAATAAAAATAATTATTTTAAAAAAAGCGATGGACGGCATCTCTTAGTCCGTTGCTTTGTTTCGCGGATTTTTGCGCTAAATAAATATATAATTAATAATTATTTATTTAATATATATAGAGACACCATCCGTCGCTTTTTATTAAAATTAATTATATATAAATTAAAAAATAACCACGTTGTCCGTCGTTTTTAATTTATTTTATTTTATTAATTAATTTTTAAAAAAGCGACGGACGGCATCTCTTAGTCCGTCGCTTTTTGGTCAAAATATCTAGTCAACTATTTTAAAAAGCGACGAACAGTGTCTCTTAGTCCGTCACTTTTTGGTCAAAATGTTGGTCAACTATATTTAAAAAAAGCGAAGGATTTAGAGACGATGTCCGTCTCTTTTTATTAAATATCTAAAAGACATATTGTCATTTTCTTATTTTCTTCTCTCGCTTCACTCTTAATCTCTCCCTTCTCTCTCTCTCTCTATATATATATATTGATCCTCCGTCGTCGTCGCTGGTCATTGTCCTCAACCAGTGCTCCACTTCCTAGTCGCCGTCACTGCAGGTAGGGGGGTTAAATTTTAGTTTTTTTTTTTTTCAATTCTAGTGATTATAATTGATTGTTTGTTAGTATATTATTGTTTTTGTTTGTTGGGTTGTGTTATTCAATTGTTAATTTGATTTGATTATTGTTAGTTAGGTATAGATAATTGAAGATTTTTATTTTAGGGTTTTTTTAAAAAAAATGGGCATTTTTAAATTGGGCATTGTTAGTTAGTGAAGAATTAGTATTTTTGTATTTTAGGACTAGTTTAAAGTTGAGAATATGTAATTTTAGGTTGAATTGTGATTTTTTTGGATTTGATTTTAGGACTAGTTAATAATTTGAAGTTAGAAATTAGTAATTGAAGTGTTATGAGAAGATGATGAATGTTTGAGTGTCATGAATTTAGATGATGAATGTTTGAATGTCATGAACTTAGAACTTGAACTTTAACTTTGAATTTGAACTTGAAGTTGAACTTAGAACTTGAACTTGAAATTAGAACTTGAACTTGAATTTAGAACTTGAACTTGAATTTAGAACTTGAAATTGAACTTACAATTTGAACGTGTACTTAGAACTAGAACTTGAAATTAGAACTTGAAATTAGAACTTGAACTTAGAACTTGAACTTAGAACTTGAACTTGAACTTGAACTTAGAACTGGAACTTGAACTTAGAACTGAAACTTGAACTTAGAACTTGAACTTGAACTTGAACTTAGAATTTGAACTTGAACTTGAAATTAGAACTAGAACTTGAATTTAGAACTTGAACTTGAACTTAGAATTTGAAGTTAAACTTAGAATTTGAAAGTGAACTTAGAACTTGAACTTGAAATTAGAACTTGAACTTAGAACTTGAACTTGAAATTAGAACTTGAACTTGAAATTAGAACTTGAACTTGAAATTAGAACTTGAACTTGAAATTAGAATTTGAACTTGAACTTGAAATTAGAATTTGAACTTGAACTTGAATTAGAACTTGAACTTGAATTTTGAACATGAACTTAGAATTTGAAGTTGAACTTAGACTTGAACTTGAAATTAGAACTTGAACTTGGAACTAATTAGCTTGAATATATAACTAATTAAGTTTAGAAATTAGCTATGAACTTGAATTGAAAACTTGAACTTATTAAAACTTGAATATATATATATATATATATATATATATATATATATATATATATAACTAATATTCTTGGATTTGAAGTTTATATTTAACTAATTTTTGAACTTTTCGTGCTAGGCAACTGAGGAAGCTCAACATCTAAAAAAGTTGATACAAGACTATATTGCTTCTTTCATCAAAGTAGGATATAAGGTTGGTGCCTCTAAATTTCTAAAGTTCAAGTACAATTGTTTTCAATAATGTGTTTGTGTCCATCTAGTATTGATACTTAGCTTTAATTCTAGTGATTACAATTGATTATTTGTTAGTATATTATTATTTTTGTTTGTTGGGTTGTGTTATTCAATTGTTAATTTGATTTGATTATTGTTAGTTAGGAATAGATAATTGAAGATTTTTATTTTTGGGTTTTTTTTTTAAAAAAAAATGGCATTTTTAAATTCAGCATTGTTAGTTAGTGAAGAATTAGCATTTTTGTATTTTAGGACTAGTTTAAACTTCAGAATATGTAATTTGAGGTTGAATTGGGATTCTTTTGGATTTGATTTTAGGACTAATTAGTAAAGTGTTAATAATTTGAAGTTAGAAATTAGTAACTGAAGTGTTATGAGTAGATGATGAATGTTTGAATGTCATGAATGTCATGAATTTAGATGATGAATGTTTGAATGTCATGAATTTAGATGATGAATGTTTGAATGTCATGAACTTATAACTTGAACTTGAACTTAGAATTTGAACTTGAACTTGAAATTAGAACTTGAACTTGAAATTAGAACTTGAACTTGAATTTAGAACTTGAAGTTTAACTTAGAATTTGAACGTGAACTTAGAACTTAAACTTGAAATTAGAACTTGAACTTAAACTTGAAATTAGAACTTGAACTTGAACTTGAACATAG